ATTTATATGCTATATAATATTTACAATATTGCGGAAAGCAAGATCGTAATAAAATGATAAAAATTAAATTATCAAAATCATGACTCAGATAAAACTGTTATCTGAATGTTGAGAAAAAAATTTATATATATACATACAGTAAGTGCAAAAAGTATTTGTACAGAGAAAATATTTTTTAAAAAACTTTACTTTTAAAAAATAAATATTACCAGCAAGAAATGAATTATCGAATTGATGTTGAATCAATATCGATATGATGATTTCAACAATTTGACGATTCGACGTTTAATTGATGCTCATTTCTTGCTGGGTAATTTATTCATAAAGAATAAAATAGACTGTATGTTTCTTTTTATTCTTAAAATTATATATACCAAAAAGATGTGTATTAATTATAGAAAATATATTATCTGAAAAATATGCGAAAATAAAAAATTGTATTGTTTGGATACTCAAGTTTGGATACTCAAAAGTATTCGTACAATTGAGAAATTTATCTTTTAAAATCAAAAATATATGCGAAGCTTATTTGTTAATGTAAGAACAGAATGTATTCATTGTATAAAAATTGCTAATTAATGTTTATTTTCTACAAATAAGACTTTTTTTATAAAAAAATTTCCTTGTACTTTTTGCTCTCACTGTATATATATATATATATATATATATATGAGATATATACCAGTTCCTGGGCGGAAATTTGGAATGTCACTGAATATTAATGAATGCAAGCAATAAAAAAAAGAAAGAAAAGAAAAATATTTAGAAATTCTCATTTAGGCAATCATTTTTGCAAGCATGTAGTTCTTGAATCAAGATCGTTCACTTTCTTATCCGGACTATATACTCGTCGCGGCGCCGGTATAGAAGAAGAAAGAAACATTGATTTACATGTTTACATGTTTCTATTTGTTTATAAGCATTGCAACGATTTCACCGTTACAAGATTGATAAGACATAAAGGAATGTTTATCACTTATCGATAGCGGCGCCATACAATTTTACGTGCTGGTTTGTGAGTGGTCTCTTTTGTTTGATTCGCTGACAGCTGTGAAATGGTTAGAAGAAACGAAATAAACAAGGAGCTTGTCTGCTTGTTGATACTGACAGGTTATCTGTCTCCTATTATTGAATGTTACATCGCAGAAGAATTAATTCTTCTAAACGACGGCATCCACGACACGAGTCACATCGATCACGCGGACGACGGCTCGTTGTAAAACGTTATAAGATATGGTAGAAAAGAAAAAGGAGATCGTATGCGCGGAGAAGGCCGGTTTGGCGGGAGGGGTCGATAAGAGAAATCAAACCGGGCGTGCTACGTGGAATCGTGAAAGTGAAGGTATGTTGCCGCTACTTGTGGTCGCGAGAGAGGCCGATCGAACCCGATGAATACCTGTTGCCTCTTTCTCGTTTTTTCCCATGCGCTCGCGTTCACGTCTTGACTGTCTCTTAAGTAGTCTTGACGTGACGTGGGCAGCTGTATCGAGATTGAAGGATTTACACAGAACACACGACGATAAACGCGACACGCGATAAGGGGATACACTTTCCATAAGCGTTCGCAAGTGTCAAACGCAGATTATTGACACGACATAGAGTATGGAGCATTTAAAAAAGAAGCTAAGCGAGTATGATCAGGAACATCTGCTCACATTTTGGGAGGAGTTAGTGGATGAGGATAGGAACCAGCTGGAAAATGATATAGATGAGCTTGATCTGCAGGAAGTTACGGCATACTTTAAGAAGGCTGTAGAATCCTCTCAGACCATTGCTCAGAATACATTAGATGACAAGATACAGCCAATCGATCAGACCAAGATAGCTTCTGTCAAGACGTCCACTGAGGAAGAATTGAATACATATAAGGAACATGGTTTGAAAGAAATAGCCCAAGGTTGCGTGGCTGTATTATTGTTGGCAGGTGGTCAAGGAACACGACTAGGAGTTACCTATCCTAAAGGAATGTATGATGTTGCATTGCCATCACATAAAACACTTTTTCAATTGCAGGCGGAAAGAATACTCTACTTGCAAAGTATGGCACAACAACAATGTGGGAAACACGGAGAGATAACTTGGTATGAGAATCAACAAGTATCATTGTAGTTGCAGTAGAAAAAATAGCTTTGCAACTGTTGTAAAATTCTTTAATATGATTGATTTTGTCCTTAATTTCTTACTGAATCTAAATGTATAAATCAATTATATTAAAGAATCTTACAATAGTTAGTTGCAAAGCTTTATCTGCTGAATGTAACTATTATTGTTATAATGTAACATATGTGATAAGGAAAAGAAAATGAAATTGATTTAATTTTATTTTTCAGGTATATCCTTACTAGTGAAGCTACTCATGACGCCACTGTCGAATATCTAAACAAACGCAATTATTTTGGTTTAAAAGAGAAAAATGTCAAAACCTTCAAACAGGGTATGCTGCCGTGTTTCACCTTTGATGGAAAAATTATTTTGGACACTAAGTATCGTGTTTCCAAGGCTCCTGATGGTAATGGAGGATTGTATCGCGCTTTGAAAGCTCAAGGAATATTGAATGATATGGAACAACGCGGTATCCGGAGTGTTCACGTACATTCCGTGGATAATATTTTGGTAAAAGTAGCAGATCCTATATTCATAGGATATTGCTTGCTATCTGAAACCGACTGCGGAGTTAAAGTTATCGAAAAGTCTTCTCCTTCTGAAGCCGTTGGCATAGTTTGCAAAGTTTGTTTTTCTATAATATGATAATTAAATTTATATACAAAGTTTATATTATAATTTTATTTCGATTAATTAGGTGGAGGATCACTATCAAATAGTTGAATACAGCGAAATAACAAAGGAAACTGCAGAGCTTCGACATGTCAATGGACAATTGATATATAATGCTGCTAATATATGCAATCACTATTTTACGATCGACTTTTTGAAGGACATTGCATACCTTTATGAGAAAGATCTACTTTTGCACGTAGCAAAAAAGAAAATTTCATACGTTAATGACGACGGAGAAAGAATCGTTCCAAAAATTCCTAACGGTATTAAAATAGAAAAGTTTGTGTTTGACGTATTTCCTTTCGCACAGAATTTTGCAGTGTGGCAGGGAACGCGCGAGGAGGAATTTAGTCCGCTGAAAAATTCAAATTCCGTTGGTCAAGATTGTCCAAGCACCGCTCGTATTGATTTGCTCAATTTACACAAAAAGTGGCTGTTGAAAGCAGGTGCAAAACAAGTCGGAGACGACGTCGAAATCTCTCCTTTGCTCTCGTATGCGGGAGAAAACTTGTGTCAAATCGTAAACGGTCAATCTTTCGTGGGACCACAAGTTCTCGAATAATAAGAAAGAAATTTTTTTCATTCTTCTATAATAATGACATATTTAGAATATTTATATTTTCGACCAATGGATTAAGCATACATTTTTTATTTGTTTGTATAATAATCATTTGTATAATTTATATACCACCCAGTTTTCGGTTTTAATAGTCATGCTTTTATTTCATGACGGGATTGGCTGAACTAGATAAAAAGAAAAATCGTGTAAATAAAATATAACGTCGATAATTGTGTATAAAAATTGGCTGTATATATTCAAGTGTAATTCGATTATAATATTATTGTTTAATCCACAAGTATTGTGACCATCATATTTTTATATATTGTTATCATATGTACATGAAATAAAAGTATTATAAATTTATATATATATATATATACACACATATAAAAATACACACACACACACACACACACACACACACACATACGCGCGCGCGCACGCACGCACGCACTCACAGGATTGTATATGTATATACAATCAGTGAGAAGCATACACATTTGTACATTTGGAAGCGTAATTATAATATATATACGTATAAAAAATTATAATTGCATAGTTTTATTTCGTTTCTTAAACAAAC